ATTACTCCACATAACATGCCTGTCTCCATCCTCTTTGTCTGCACTGCTACACATGTGCCGTGACGCACTGGTAGGACAAAAGTTGCGCTTGTTGAGCTTCCCACAAGGAACATGGTTGGTTTCTTCTTCTGCACACCCTTTCCCCGTAGAATCCTAGCATGGAGCTTTGTCGTACCCCGGTCGCATTCCCACCCTCCAAAAGCTTTAAAATCTTATATATTTAAAAGAGGGTGATAATTGACCGTCCCACACCTGCCACACAAAACGGACTTGAAAATGTGATCCGCGGTTGACCGAAATGGATGTTTTGTAAAGCTTCCAAGAAGCATAAACTTTGTTCCTCCTGAAGGGTACAAAAAGCTTATTTAGTGGGAATTGCCAAGTCATTTGCTGATTTTTGCACCTGCTTCAGCTTGGCCATTACTCCACATAGCATGTCTGTCTCCATCCTCTTTGTCTGCACTGCTACACATGTGCCGTGACGCAGGGTACAAAAAGCTTATTTAGTGGGAATTGCCAAGTCATTTGCTGATTTTTGCACCTGCTTCAGCTTGGTCATTACTCCACATAACATGTCTGTCTCCATCCTCTTTGTCTGCACTGCTACACATGTGCCTGTGACGCACTGGTAGGACAAAAGTTGCGCTTGTTGAGCCTCCCACAGTGAACATGTTTGGTTTCTTCTTCTGCACACCCTTTCCCCGTAGAATCCTAGCATGGAGCTTTGTCGTACCCCGGTCGCATTTCCACCCTCCAAAAGCTTTAAAATCTTATATTTAAAAGAGGGTGATAATTGACCGTCCCACACCTGCCACACAAAACGGACTTGAAAATGTGATCCGCGGTTGACCGAAATGGATGTTTTGTAAAGCTTTCAAGAAGCATAAACTTTGTTCCTCCTGAAGGGTACCAAAAAAGCTTATTGAGTGGGGATTTCATTGCTGAATTTTTGCACCTGCTTCAGCTTGGTCATTACTCCACACATAACATGCCTGTCTCCATCCTCTTTGTCTGCACTGCTACACATGTGCCGTGACGCAGGGTACAAAAAGCTTATTGAGTGGGGATTGCCAAGTCATTTGCTGATTTTTGCACCTGCTTCAGCTTGGTCATTACTCCACATAACATGCCTGTCTCCATCCTCTTTGTCTGCACTGCTACACATGTGCCGTGACGCACTGGTAGGACAAAAGTTGCGCTTGTTGAGCTTCCCGCAGTGAACATGGTTGGTTTCTTCTTCTGCACACCCTTTCCCCGTAGAATCCTAGCATGGAGCTTTGTCGTACCCCGGTCGCATTCCCACCCTCCAAAAGCTTTAAAATCTTATATATTTAAAAGAGGGGGATAATTGACCGTCCCACACCTGCCACACAAAACGGACTTGAAAATGTGATCCGCGGTTGACCGAAATGGATGTTTTGTAAAGCTTTCAAGAAGCATAAACTTTGTTCCTCCTGAAGTATATACCATGTCAATCTACCATATCATATATGTATATCAATGTACATCATATGTATATTAAATTACCATCTGGTTATGACAAACATAGCCATGGAAAATTCCTTCCTTATACATGGAGGTTTATAGTTTAGTTCGCTGGGAAAATCATCTATTTCGATTAGGGCCATGGCTTAACCATGGCGAACTGTTAGTCATAACCAGAGGATACATATCGAGCTTTCCGCTTTGTCATGGGGACACCTCCCCCACAAAACGCGGCCACGGCGCCGGCTTTGGACAGCAATCGCCATCCCCCACGAGACCATTGGAATTGGCCACCTGGCCGTCTTTTTCGGTTTCATCATGAAGAAATGGTGCTTTTATATGGTATTTTCCATGGGTATCATTGGGATCACCATGGATTTTTTCACCTGGTTGGTGGTTGACCTACCCCTCTGAAACATGATGGAGTTCGTCAGTTGGGGTTATGACATTCCGGATATATGGAATTAAACATGTTCCAAACCACCAACCAGTCACCAACAAGTACACAGATAAATGGAGTTTTTTTCTTCAAATACTTTAACCATGAAGAATCGGATATAATTGGAATATATAATGGATATATCATAGGTTTTAAACGGATTTAATGGGACAGGTTTTGAAATTTGGGGACATTAACCATGGATTAAACCATCAGGGATTTGGATTGTGTGTTGACTGTCAAAAATGGGGATCAAACATGATCAAACCATGAAAACTGGATTATGACCAAGTCTAAATCACATTGGAATTTAATAATTTAACCATATCACAATTGGGGATTCTAATGGATGTTCAACGGAAATAATGAATATATTATATCATCCTCTTCCCCTGATACTAAGAATTAAGAACCAATTGGGAAGGGTTTCTTTCCTTGGGAATTTTAGAATCAGTTGGGAAGGGATTAACATGATTAGAACCAACAATAACTCACAGCAACTAACAATGGAGGCTTAACATGGTCTAACCAACACCAATTGGAGATCAAGGGGATATGAAAATGGGATTCAAGCAGCACAACTCAATGGATTGGTTTAAGGTAAACTTACCCTCTGGTAAACATTCACAGTTTGCGAACTTGAAAATGGCCATAGAAAATATAGAAATCGTTGATTTACCCATGAAAAGTGGTGGATTGGTGGATCTTTCCGTCGTTTTTTGTGAACGTTTACCAGGCCGGGTCAATCCGTGAGACACCCCCAGCGTGATCCAACTGCGCCTGAAACTCCGGAAGGGTCGCTGTGACAGGTGCAGACCACACCTACCGGGACCGAGCACGACGATAGAAGTGGATAGTGATAAGCCCTGGATTTTCTCCAGAAATCCATGGTACCTTTGGAGATTTGGAAACAACCATAACTGGTTGGTGGTTTTAACCATCCCCTTAGTTTCACCATACCATGGACCATGGGTGGGATTTCAGCCATCCCCAGATGCTTGTGTATGGCATTGGGTTTATCACATGCTGGTTGGTGGTTGAAAAACCACCTTGAAACATATGAGTTCGTCAATGGGAAGGATTATCCCATATATTATGGAAACTAAAAAATGTTTGAAACCACCAACCAGATAGGTTTTGGATGCGTCTTTTGCTTCATGGATTGGCTGAAGCTGTCACAAGCTTTTCTTGAATGAAACATGGAAATGTTCCCTGAAACCAATCCATTCATGGACCCAGAAAGCATCACACTTTACTGAAAGCTAGAATAGCATCGGTTTTTGTTTTACAACCAAAAAGAGACAAACAAGGAATCGTAAGTAGATAATATCATATCATATCCAGAAATAGCTGTATAAAACGGGTTCCCTCCAACCCGGACGTTGCTCCACACCTCAAGAGACTCCTCATCATCATCATCATCAGCATCATCATCATCATCATCATATTATCATCAGCATCTTTCTGGTGCTTGATAGGGAATGGGGGAATGATTCAAAGGATCCAATCCATATCCCCAACTTATCTTCATAAAGGGATCAAAACTTGCCACCCTCTCTGACTTATATGTTGATGAACATAAGAACATGAACTTATCTTGTTAAGGGATCAAAATCCGCCACCCCCTCTGACTAATACGTTGACAGGGATCATTACATCAACTTATCTTCCTAAGGGATCAACATGACAATTGGCACCCCCTCTGACCTATATGTAATGTAATATAGGATATATGTGCTACGTACTAGTATATACTTCGGCCACTTCTGATTCCGACGCGGAGCAACGTAGGGGTTGCAGCGAACGTGTTTTATCCTGGGTATAAGTATCATATAAACGGATATAAATGAATTATCAACTGGTTTTACCCTCTGGTAAACTAACATAATAGCCATTGAACATGGCCATTTATAGTTGATTTACCTATTAAAAATGGTGATTTTCCATATGTTAGTTTACCAGAGGGTACCCCAATGTTGAGTGACTTGGAAATGGCACTGCGAACCACTAGTAACTTAGAGGATCGTCCCCTAGTAACGGGATAAGCCGGGTGAAACAACACTCACTTGCTACTTGGTTCCGTGCAGTTCCAGTAACAAGAGTGGATAGATTTCACCATAGTTGTGTTGTAGAGATTATATCAATGTTATATATATATATCAAATTATGTTATATATATATATATATCTCATAACATATTTATATATATATATATTATAACATATATAATTATATATATATTATTATGATATCCATATCATCCATATCCCAACTGATAGGGCTTTTAGAATCCCATGGTAAAATCGCCACAGCAGCAGGGCCCCTGGATCCCCGACACACACGGTGCTTTCGTCACAGCACTCCACGCCACAAGTCTCGGAGGATTGCACAGGGATTTTTTCCGGTGGTTCAAGGGAAATGTGAAAACAACACATCACCATTCTTATGGAAAACTAACATAACTATGGATAAACATGGTAAAGTAATCAGTTTATATCGAGGTTATATAAATAGATTATATCAAGTTTCCACATAAACATGAGGAAATCCCTCTGGTAAACGTGTACATAACTATGGAAAACCACCATTTCTGATGGGTCAATCGACTATTTCTATGGCAATTTTCAATAGCTATGTAACAAATTACCAGAGGGTATCAGTAAACATCAGGAAACCATAGTTTCAATATGTTGTTTATATGCAATGTGTTCCTCAATATGTTCGAATCCAGGGTTTTTATCAGATGTATATATATATATATGAACCGGCATTTTAGACATATAATATAATATCAGAAGTGTATATATATATATAGATATATATCAGAAGTATATATATATGGGTTCATATAATAATCTTCGACTTACATGAACCGGCATTCTCAGCTTGGTATCGAACCAATTTTTATTTCCGGGCTTGGACATTCATTCTGATCTAAATGTCCCAAGGGAAAATGCAGCAGAATCATGGGTCATTCTAGCAACTTCCCAAGGGATTCAACAAAAATACATTTCCAATATTTTAGATTTTTTGATTAATCCCTGGATTTTTTCTAAAATCAATTTAGAAATACATTTTCCAATATTAAACAAAAAACAATTTCTCTTTCTATTTTTTTGTATTTTTTTGTTGGTTGTTTTTTATACTCCAATTCCTCTGTCACTTTCGCAAGTTGACAAAGCGGGTTTTTACGCGAGTTCTTTGCTCGGGGATCCACTGTTGGATGAGTCAAGAATTGGTAGAGTATAACCCCATTATTTTTCTATGCTGGGTATTCATACCCCATTAGAAAAACCAGTTTTTTTACCCCAAGTAATATAGCAGTTTAACTCATGTCTGGTCTCAAATTGCTATGCTCGTTGAATGTCTAATATCTCAATCTGTCGTGGTCAACGAGTGATAATCATCAACCATAAGGGGTTTCTGACATGTAAAACACTTGTAAAATTGTGGCAAAGCCACCACCATACCCAAGTATTAACCAGTAACTGGCATATTGGAATGGTATTCAGAACGATATATATATATATATGTCATTATATGTAAAACATATGTCATATTATTTCTATATATATATATAGATATACACCTCAAATTTATTGTTGAGTTTACCACATTTGGGCGTCACCCTTCAGTGACTTCAGTGAACAGCCAGAAAAAACATGGGGTAATTCATGCCAGTGATGGGGATAACCTATAGATTCATCTAATGTCATCTGACCATAATTCATGACTAAGTGACTGAACATTGGGTACCACTTAAATCAGTTTTTTGTTAGATATAACATTGGGTACCATTGGGTACCACTGAACATTTAAGCTATGTTTATAGTTCTGACTGACCATCATGCTCCCTATGAAAAAAATATGCCATACTCTCTAGGGGCGTTTTTTGTTCTCCCCTGCACTTGAAAATCCCCTGTACCTGGAGGAAGTTTTCACAGCCGGTATCACAGGGACGATGATACCTGCTTTGGCAAGCATAAATGATGACCTGGCGCTGCTATATCTACATGGCTCATCTTTGGAGTATATAGATGTTAGTACATGTTCCATTGGAAGCATTTGGGATTTTTAACTGTCAATAGATAATATATAAGATATCAGGCACATCCAATGGGGTTGTTGATTTCAGAACAAAACATGCGTAAAACAAGGTATCTTTCATGAATTTACCACACAAAAACGTAACGGATTTCCTTCTAAATGTCCAAATGTCCCTCAAAGCAATCTTATAATTAGCACCCTGAATTGCCAAACATAGGGTGACAAAAGGGGCAACAATCAACCTATATCTGAAAACATGTGGTCACATGAATGGTACATGCGTGTCATTTAGTATTCATCTGAGGATGGGTCAAACCTATTATTACCATATTTGATATTTGGAACAATTTTGGAACTATTTGGATATATTTTGGGTAATAAACATCCATTCACCACTACCAGCCATTTTAGGGTACCTAGGGTACCAGCCAGGTACCACGGTTTTGACCCAGCTTACAGCGAGGACGGGTGCCGACAAACGTATGGGGGGCACGGAGTGCACGGGTCAAATCATTGTGTACCGCAACAAAAGGAACTCATGTAATTGTCATCCTGAAGTAGATAGAATATGAATGAACATGAGATGTTCGAATGTTCAGTGTTATTCAGTTATTCCCATTTCAGTGAGGATCTATCGAACTGTCCATACTCCAAGATGGCTATAGTGAGGATATCTTCAAAATGAGCACATCTGTGGTTCTCTTCGAGGACACTTCGGGCCAGGTACCCAATTTTCAGACCCCATATTTACGGAACACATTTGGAGCCACCAAAACAGATCACATTTGTTAGAACTGTTCAAGCGTGGCGAAGCATCTATGAATCTATGCTTTTGAACAAACACATTTACTGATATTTACTGTACATCATTGTACCCTTCGGTCTTTTTTGGGGCTTACACCCGGAGTCGGCCGATGTTCAACCAAATTTGGCAAAAGCACATTCAGAACAACAACTGTTTGTTGATAGGTTTTTCTACAAAGCGGGTTATCGGTTATCATAATCCCCAATAAATATCACTTGACGTGGTATAAGTCCCTATGTTACCCTCTGGTAATTTAACATAGCTATTGAAAATGACCATTTATAGAATTTATAGTGGATTTACCTACTATAGATGGTGATTTTCCATAGCTATGTTAAATTACCAGAGGGTGACCCATCAACTGTTGGGTATTTTTCAATGGCTCAATTGTTGGTAAAAATTGGATTCTATCCCCATCATACCCCTGTGAAACACCTTTCTGGCTGCCAGCTTAAGGCCCCTTTATGGGAGACGAGGACGGCATCAACTGAAACCTTAACTGGGACCTACCAAAAGGCAAGGGAATACCAATACAAATTGAAAATCTTAGGAATATCGGAATATCGGTTCAATTCGGTTCATATATGTTGTACTTTCATGTACTTTCACATCTACACTTTGACCATTCAGAAAACATGCTGCAAAACGTGAGCTCAGAGCTGGTTGAAACTATGGTCACTCGACTGACTCAACCAACAGTATTTCCTCCCAATCACTCAGACTCAGAAACATGTCCAAAAAAGCTATTGAATGATATGAAAGAATATTATTTATGTTAAACACACAAACAATCAAAAACCATCAAAACCCACAATGTGAACTCACTCCCCTCGTATCAGTCGCCTTACTTCCGCACCGTCTTGGACGTTGTGGATGGCGTCCGGAAGATAGGTGAAACAGGCCATCCTGGCCGCCAGGCTACGAGGCTGAGTTGAATGATGTTATTCATATAACTGAGGGATTCACTGTAGCTGTTAATTGTATAATATTAGTATAAATGAATTATACAGATTGAGGGATTCATTATCAGGCTACTAAAATTCCAAGTAGCGGTCGAATGATAACTGATAACTTGCCTCTGAATCCATTCCCATTTCGCCGGGAGATTCACCGATTCAAATAGGGAAGGAATCGGTTATTATCATGTTCCATCATGTTCCCCCATTGCACTTGTGGCACTTGCATGCCCTGGCCGCATAGTTTGGGGCCAGCAAACATATATTCATTGCAGGAAAATCAGCAGGTGCTTTCAGAACAGATTCAACAGGTCCCATCTTCGACCCAAGGCCAGACATGAATAGAAAATACATGAAAATACTGAAACTATTGGGGTAAAACTTACCCTCTGGTAAACTAACGTAGCTATTGAAAATGGCCATTTATAGCATTTAGTGAGTTTTCCCATGAAAAATGGTGGATCTTTCAATAGTTATGTTAGTTTACCGGAGGGTACCTTATCTTGAAGAGTACTTGGGAGGTCCTCCCATTGGGACGCTCCTCGCTACTGCACGGGCGCAGGATCGCATCTGGCTGGACGAATCCTGCGAGATGTCAACGGATTCGACTCAGTATTCTGTTGATAAACCTATTGATCTGGGTAAATAAGAATAACTAAGGTCAAACATGAGGATGATTATTCATGGTAATAATAGGTTTCAATAATAGGTTAGTGACATTAGTGGCCGCATTAGAATAATTCACTAACCTGAATCTTGCGGCCATTTGGAGATGATTTCCCTTACTAACAATGATTTCCTTACCAACATGAGGATTAGTCCAAGCACCGGGCAAATGTAGATAATGGCTGTGTCAAAAATGACAAGAATTTCTGGATCAAATATATCAAATCAACCACAAAACAGTTTTATGGATTAACTTTTTCTATGAATGGAGACACCAATAACAGGCCATGGATTATATCATTTTATATCATGGATTATCGTGATATCATCGGATGTAGACGCCATTTCCTGACAGTATTAGATGCATATTTTGCCGTGAACTCCAGAAAATGATCAACAATTGGCCCAAATTTGGAGCCGATCCTATGCTATCCATGCCAGAAGGCTCGAAAAAAAAAACACACACGGTCAGTAGACTCAACTTTTTTTGGTCAATGTGAGGAAAACCTCTGACAAACAACATCATTCCATTCCGTGAAATAGCCTCGATGATGTTTGCTGGAAAATACCGCATTTAGTTCAATGATGTCCCAGATCATCGGCAGTTTCAATGATCTGGGGATTTGTGGGACATTACCCTGAGCTATCCACTGACATCCACGAGGTAGATTCTCAATGATTCTCAGACCCGCAAATCATTCTCTGTGGCCCCATCTGTGACTTTGCCATTGACGACTGACACTCTTAGACAGCCTGCAAAAAAAAGTATGTCGACATCTATTTTATCAGTTATCATATCATAGAATCATAGAAAATCATAGCATCCAATTTGGAAACCATGTCAAGTGGAATTTTATACCCCATAGGATCCATGTATGCCATATATGGTAACATTTACCATCAATATACCCCGAATGTTAGCATATATCCCAGCACCATGGATCCTATGGGTACTTTGAAAAACCAAAAAAAAAACGGCAAACGAAACCAGCAATCGCTTAGCTGCCTCGAAGGGTTTCACGTGATCCCAGGGTTCCAGTCCCATGGCGGACATGTGAAGGAAATACCTGGCTTCAACCGATAAAAATTGGAGACCTACCCTCTGGCAATTTAACAGTTTGCGAACTGGAAAATGGACCATAGAAATATTATTTAATGGTGATTTTCAATAGCTGTGTTAGTTTACCAGAGGGTAGGTTCAGATATTTTATTCGAGATCCACCAGATTTTCGTTGGCCTATGTCAAGCCCTATGTCAGGGAATCTCCCCACAAAAATATGGCCCATTCGAAGGCGAGTTGGATCTGGTAAAATAGCTTCATTTTAAGACGCACATCCACTTGATCCTCACGTGGTCCCCAGAATGAAGAAATCCACCACTAAATAGTGGTTTAGATGTTTCTTTTTCAATGGAATTTAATGTCTTGGGAAAGGGATTCATGTGATTTGATATTGACTATAATTGGCAAACATCTTATGTAACATATTGTTAAATAAAAACTGGTCAAAACATGTCAAGACTTATATTTAATCTGCAAAATGGTGCTTTGACCAACAATAAGAACTGTATATTTTGGAGATGTGAAAATCATAAAATCAATATCAATATACTAAAAATAATTCTAAAAATAATTCTTACTGCATCTGTTTGTTCAAAAAAAATGATGAAAACTATGGGGAATATTTGGTCAATTCATGTCAATTCTATGGGGATATAGGTACCATTGGACCATTGGACTTTTCCTTTTTAATATGGGCTTGTCCAGAAATATGGAAAGTGGCCGCACAGCGGCTGGCGATTTTTTTGTGTTTTCATAAATGGCTCAGAGTCTGAATATAGGAGATTTTTGAGATCAACTGGTTAATAATCATGATAATCATGTTATAATTAGTAGTTAATGATCATAGGGTACGCCTGAATCGCAATAATCATGATTAAATTTAGTAGTTAATAATCATGTTGTGTTCCCTACTAAATGGCTACAATTGGGGCATGGTGGAGCCTGTTTCTTCGGAAGATGGGGGGAAACATGTTTGAAGCACGGCCAAGTCACTAAGTCACAGGAAGCAGGCCCCAAACGATATATGATATATCCAAAGAAACTTTAAGAACTAAGATTTCTGGTATATATGTAGATACATCTACGATTACAGATGGAAAAGTATTAAAACAAACAACAACTAAGATATCTATAGATATTTCCACATCTATACCATAGAGCTTAAATCAAAACAAAAAAAGCTGGGCAATCCCTTCTACAAGTAATTAAATGGATGTAAATGGTGCTTCAAGTGGGAAAAAACAATAAACACCATCTATATGGGCATTTCCTGAAATGGGTACCCCTAAATCATCCATTTTAAAGGGATTTTCCTTTATAAACCATCCATTTTAGGGACATTTTCCAGCACGCCATGTTTGGAATGGCCAGGTACGTCTGGGCTGCTCGCTGATCTTGCTTCCGCACCAGCTCCTGGCGTGTTTTTTGTTCTGACCCGAAGAGCACCAGGGAAACATAGGCTTTAAACGTACGAGTATGGATAAAAATTGAAGGACCAGGAAAAACGACAGTTTTTGAGATGTTGAGTCCAAAAAAATATACAAAAACTAGAGACATGTCAGGGTGTAGGTCAAAATTTCAATGAAATTACACATGGTGAAATGGTGGATGCTACGGTATGCTTGTGTACTAATGTTAATCTTCGAATCGAATGGCTCATTTGATAGTGATTCTTGCGCAGGAATCATGTGAGCAGTGTTCTTTTTATCATTCCATTTTACTGGTTGGTTACATGATTGTAATCCCCAATATATGAAGGGTAGTACAATTCCCGAACTAATCATCAACCCTGTCAGGGGTTGGTTAAGCAGCCACTGCTCATGTGATTCAACCCAAACTTTCATGCAACTGGACCTGGAGAAACCACAACGACGGCGTTTTTGAAAGAACCAACTGTACCAGATGTCAGCCGGTTGGACTATCCTGAAACAGTTGCGACTTTTGGATCATCCCAAATATCTTACCATCTGTTGATTCCGTGCTATGGAAGCCATGGCCCATTCAGTTCGATGATTCAGTGTTTTTTCTTTTGAAAACTAACAAAACTATGGACAATCTCCATTTATAATGGGTAAATCAACGAACTGAATGGTGATATGGTGATTTTCCCATCGCTATGCCGCTATGTAAATGACCAGGCTGTAAACTGAAACCATCATCAATGCGATTCCCGATGGAAGTCCTGCAGCATGGAGACATTGACGTCTTCCGTGCTGTTCATGGGCAAGGCCTGACTATCCAGCCAGGGTCCAATACATATATACATCTATACATATACATATATATTAATATATATATATATATGTATACATATACATACAGTATGTATGTATATATATATATATGCTAGCCTCCCACTAAGATCTACCTTTTTGATGCTTTTCCAGAGACACGATGAAACTCACTGCATACTTCAACGAAAATCAAAACATGCAGTGAGTCTGATCAGTATCCCTTCCCGGAAATTATTCGAGCCGCGCCTTCGTTCAATCATAGGTATTTGATATTTCAAATATTGTAGGAAGGTGTGTAGGAATGTGGTATGCACCAAATTTTCTTGAAAGAAACACCAAATTCATACACAATATCAAGGTGTGTGATGAAAACATTGACAATGTTTTTCCTCAAATAACAAGCAACATTCTGAGAAAAAATGCAATATGTGGAAAGATGCAATACATCCTCTATGAAGTTCAGCCTCACTCTCATTTTTCTGAATGACAGTTGTCTTTAAAGGAAAGACTTAATCTCTTCAAAATGATGTTGCCTATTTTATTCAGGCGTTTCACTCATATGAAATGGCATATTGCATGCATACACCCATGACATGCATCTTTCAACAAATACTACATACACCCAAGGGTTCTACTTCAAAGTAATGTGTTTATTGTATTAATGCATGGTTTTGAATCAAATTCAAATGGTTCACTCCCTTGTTAAGGAGGCCTTGCACATACTTGCACCAACCCTGCTTTAAGGAATACCATAGTCGGTTAAATTGGTACTGAAAGGATTCCATTTTGTCGTAAGTCTGTCCTCCTTCCATCAACTCCTTTACCTCTTGAACAGAACTTTGCACAGCTGAAAGTCTCTTTGAAAAAACTATATTCCTTTCAAAGAAATGCTGTACTCCTTTATAGTTTTGCACAGCTGTAAGTCTGTTTGAAAATAACTCTGTATTCCTTTCACATCAATGCTGTACTTTTTTATATATACATAGTGAGACTCTGCAAAATGACGTCACTTTATGCAAGGAATGATGAGCCTTTATGCTAGGAATGTCATATTTCTTGAAACATATTGCTGCACACAGCCTATATTATTGGAGAATTTTGCTTTGACAACAAACTTCAAAGTCTATAGTCTATGCTGAAACCTGTTTACTTGTTATATGTTCTAATCTTGGCTGTCTGTGATGTATTTTTCTCATGGTTTTCAGTAACTTTCTGAGAGGGTGCTCAAAACCATGATAACATCAGCAAAAAATAGACACCTACCTGGATGGTGTCCAGCCAAATTTAGAATTATGCAATATTTTGCTGAACCTACTGCTGCTACTCTTAAAGGATGTGGGTGTGCATTGCAACAAAACCTGGATAAAGCCACAAAAGACAAAAAACAAAACTTTTCAGATCATGTTTTTGTCTGATTGTCTGAAGTTCATGCTTTGTCTTTTGGTTTTACTCCAGTTTCTGCGGCTTGAGAATCTCTTGTCTAGCAATCCCATTTGGATCCAAGATTTCTTCCATGAAAATCTTGGATTTTGGATCTTGGATTCGTGCGCCCTGGCATCCGAAGTCTGACAGCTGTTCAGACTTGAGATCCCAAGTCTGACAGCTGTCCAGACTTGAAATCCCAAGTCTGAGGTCCTACCTGCTATCTTTAAATCTAATGTCATTTATGTATATTATATGTAAATGTATATGTATCTGTCTATGTGTATCTATAAAAAGTCTTCCAGGTAGATCTCAGGGGGGGTACCATAAATATATATATACACATACATATAATTAGATATATATATATATAGTTTATACCCTGGGAGCCAGGATCTTCATCAAAATATCACTTGCCCTATCAAAGTGTCACCAAACGTGGCTTGGAAAGTCCTCTTTAAAAATGGGGTTCAGGAAAATCATCGAACTAGATGGGAAAATTTTCCAGCTAGCCATGTTGGATTCCCCGAAGGCAGTTAGTTCAAGGGTCATCAAAAGTGGCCAGCGTCTTAGAGTCTTAACCTCAATACCAGCATCCGCAAGAAAGGTTTTGACCACTCTTTGAATTACTAACGATATTACTTAGAACAGCCAATAGACACGGTCCTTCTACGAGTCCTCATAGTGGTTATTTTACATCCCTACTTGGATGTGCATTTGCCAGTCCAAATATGATTTTTCAGTATTTATCAGTTTTATCCCCATAGTTCATCAGTTCTATCCGCATAATATCCTAGTACTTCCCATTCAATCCCTACATTTGATGGTCAAAGCATAGGATGATTGATGATTGAACCCATCCCGCTTAGTAAGGGGTATATATATATAAGCCATATATAAGCAATGTAATTATAAACCCTATAATTCCATACGCAAGTGAGGATATTCCATGAATCTAACGAGTTTTCTTGCACCCATGTACGATCCGTGGGCCCGCACCCCCTAAAAATTCAATGCGCATGACCATCCAGAGAACGGGCGGCGAGAGTGTCAGTTGGTCCTTTCAAAATGAACGATTTAATCCCACCCCCCAATATTAAACACCACCAAAGCGGTTCCACATATAATATATATATACATTTTTAATATTTATATTTATGTACATCTATAAATATATATATACACATAAATAAATATGTATATGTACTTATGTATATACATATATGTATATATGTATATATGTATATATGTATATATGTATATATGTACCTATGTATATATGTACTTATGTATATATGTACTTATGTAAATATGTACTTATGTATATATGTATATATGTATATATGTAAATATGTATATATGTATATATGTATATATGTATATATATATATGTATATGTATATGTATATATGTATATGTATATATGTATATGTATATGTATATATGTAAATATGTATATATGTATATATGTATATATGTATATATGTATATATGTATATATGTACTTATGTATATATGTACTTATGTATATATGTACTTATGTAAATATGTACTTATGTATATATGTACTTATGTATATATGTATATATGTATATATGTATATATGTATATATGTATATATGTAAATATGTATATATGTATATATGTATATATGTAAATATGTATATATGTATATATGTATATATGTATATATGTATATATGTATATATGTATATATCTATATATCTATATATGTATGTATATATATATATTATATCCCAATATCGTTGTAAACCATGGTTTCTGGCGAGTTTTTAGTATGAACACGACAAGGGATTTGTATGTCTCCGATGCTGCGCCATTTCTGGGTCCCCAAGCCACATTGTAATTGATCGTGCCATTACCTTGGCGGGCAGAGATCCGGTCTCCACAGTTTCTCTGTTTTTTTTCTGTGAAAATTTCACCTGACATCTGGCAGCAGGTTCCCATGGCGTTTCCCATGGCCTTTTTCCATTGAAATCACCAGTTTTTCTCCATTTTACCAATGACCTCACCGAGATCTCCACAGAAGTCGATTGTCTTGGCGATCTTTGGCAAGCTGATCTTGGCCCACCTGATTTCGGTCTTCCCAATAGAAATCATCGACTTGAATGCGGTGAAAAATGAATTCCACCTATGAGCGACTAGAACGACTAGCCAGCTTAACCGACAATAACACCATGATGATAATGATCCACTATTTCCCCACCTGCCACGTGAGGGTTGTTAGATTTTATCAGAGTTGTTCTTCTCCTTCTCCTTCTTCTCCTTCTCCTCCTTCTCCTCCACCACCTCTGCATCCACTTCCAGGTCCACTTCCGCCACTTCGATGTCCACTTCCGCCTTGCCAACTGTTCGCCCAGCTCTTCGCCAACTTCCGCGCGCAGTGGGCACTGCCGGACCTCAACTGCCGGCTTCCGATCTGAGTGGGCACGGCTGGGCCTCAACCGCAAGGGTCTGAGCGCAGTGAGCACCGCTGGACCTCAACCTGGGACCTTCCGAGCTAAGTGAGCACCGCTGGACCTCAACCTGGGACCGTCCGAGCTCAGTGAGCACCACTGGACCTCAACCTTGGACCATCCGAGCTCAGTGAGCACCGCTGGACCTCAACCTGGGACCCTCCGAGCTCAGTGAGCACCGCTGGACCTCAACGGCCAGATAGAATGCCAGAAGATATGCCAGATAGAACGCCAGATAGAATGTCAGAAAGAATGCCAGAACATATGCCAGAAGATTTGCCAGATAGAATGCCAGAAGATATGCCAGATAGAGTGCCAGAAGATATGCCAGATATGCCATATGCCAGAAGATATGCCAGGTAGAAGATATGCCAGATAGAATGCCAGAAGATATGCCAGATAAATAGAAATGCCACAAGATATGCCAGATAGAATGCCAGATAGAATGTCAGAAGATATGCCAGAAGATATGCCAGATAGAGTGCCAGAAGATATGCCAGAACATATTGCAGAAGATATGCCAGGTAGAATGCCAGAAGATATGCCAGAAGATATGTCAGATAGAATGCCAGAAGATTTGCCAGTAACAAAACGTATAGATGTCATGGTGGGGATAACTCGAAGTAAAGTATTTTTTGTCGGCTGGTGAAAGCGAACATTGTCTTGCTCCCCAATTGCCGAACTTTAGATATAGTTGACTGCAAGAAGTGACAACTGTTGGCTACTTGGGTTGATAAATATATTCAGATATTTCAATTTAGAGCAAAATAGTGAGTTGTACTAAAGCGAACAGCTTGTTTTGCATTCATGAAAACTGGCAGGTGACTATTGTTGTGATATGTTGTGATAGTTCCCCACATCTTTGTGTGGGGTTCTTGTTTTTGGTTCTGCAGCTCCGCCTCTCCGCCTCTCCGCCGCTCCGACTTGCCCACACACAACTTGTCCACACACAACTGCCTACACACAACTTGCTTGTCCACACACAACTTGTCCCCACACAACTGTCTACACACAACTTGTCCACACACAACTTGTCCACACACAACTTGTCCACACACAACTTGTCCACACACACCTTGTCAACATGCAAGTTGTCTCTCAACTTGTCCACACACAACTGTCACAACTTGTCCACACGCAACTTGTCCACACACAACTTGTCTACACACAACTTGTCCACACACGACTTGTCCACACACAACTTGTCCACACGCAACTTGTCCACACACGACTTGTCCACACACAACTTGTCCACACACAACTTGTCAACACACAACTTGTCAACATGCAACTTGTCTTCACATAACTTGTCCACACATGACTTGTCCACACACGACTTGTCCACACACAACTTGTCCACACACAACTTGTCAACACACAACTTGTCAACATGCAACTTGTCTTCACATAACTTGTCCACACATGACTTGTCCACACACGACTTGTCCACACACAACTTGTCCACACACAACTTGTCAACACACAACTTGTCAACATGCAACTTGTCTTCACATAACTTGTCCACACATGACTTGTCCACACACAACTTGTCCACACACAACTTGTCAACACACAACTTGTCAACATGCAACTTGTCTTCACATAACTTGTCCACACATGACTTGTCCACACACAACTTGTCCACACACAACTTGTCAACACACAAATTGTCAACATGCAACTTGCCACATAACTTGTCCACACATTGCGTGGCAGGCGTGGCACTTGGTGACATCCACCGTCACTTTGGCGTGGCAGGCGTGGCACTTTTGGGACTGGGCTGGCTCCGGTGGCGCGCTCGGGCCGCAGTGGACGTGGTGGTCGCCGCTGCCGTTTGCGTGGCAGGCGTGGCACTTGGTGACATCGGACATACATTTGTTGCACATGCCAATCCTTCACCATCTCTTTTCTCTTTCCCGCATTTCCCATCCCATCTTTACCTTTCTTTTGCCAGTTATTGGAAGAAGTTGACATGTGGGGTTATCCGGTCCTTTAATTGTTGTTTTTTGTTGTTCTCTTTGCATCGCTTGCCAATATCCACTCTAAAAGTTACCATAGCCAGTGATAGTTGTTATATACTATCCTTGTGGTACCACTTGCTGCTATCTTAGTTGCTATAATATTAGTTGCGGTAGTTGCTACATGTTGCTATAATATAGTTGTAGTAGTTGTTATATGTTGTTATAATTTTGATATAGTTGTGGTAGTTGCTATATGTTGTTATAATCCTACTTTGTATCACTTGCCATTATGCACGATACTTCCTACAGTTGCCATCATCATTCACCTTTAGCTGTTTCTGAACATCCACTAACGGACTAGAGTTCTTGTTGTTTCATCCACCAAGTGGATAAATCAAGTTGTTGTCCACTATAGAACTAAGCTAAATGTTGATTTATCTACCATGTTACAGCTGCTAACATCCACTATAGTTACATCTATAGTTACATCCACTGTTTAGCTGATCATTTTCATCCACTAAACTCAGAATAGCCATGCGCAGCCTCTTCTTCTCGAGGCTCGGCAGGTCTTGAAGTCCTGGATAGACCTCTTTTCGGAACACACGTTGACCCAAGGGCGAATCGCACATGACTGGAACATGATTTGTGGATTTATATGGATTTATATGTATTTCTATGGATTTATATGGATTTATATGGATTTACATGGAACATGACTGGAACATGACTTTTTGGATAGGATTTATATGGATTTACTGGATATCTTTGAACATCCAACTAATATCAACTAATTATAAAACTATATACTTCCGTAATTATTCAATATCCCTTGGGTATTCCGAGCCGCGAAAAATCACCTTCCAACTATTTCCAACTGCCAAGCAACTGGGTTCACGCAGTACTGTTGCCTGCAAGCCGCATTTGTAGTGTACAGCTCCTTGCCGGCTGGTGCTAGTGGTTTCACCTGGAAAATCAGCACGAGTCATTGGGGATCAATCAAAAATTTACAACTAGGATAGGACATACCCGGCCTGGTAAACATACAAAAAACTATGGAAAATCACATTTTTTATGGGTAAATCAACGATTTCTAAATTTTCTATGGCCATTTTCAATAGCAAACTGTGAATGTTTACCAGAGGGTACCAAAAAAGTCTGTAAATCGAAATCACCAATCAGATGGATTGGAGCCAACAACTGGGTTGGATCAAGTTAGATCTTAAACTTGACAATTTTTTGCAGGGCTTTAGGCAAATCCCCCGGAGACACCATGGCTAGTCTTAAATACCTTTCATCACTACATACTTCATACTGTGGATGGTTGCGCAATCCTGCACCAGCTGGCGCAGGATTTCGCAACCATCCACTGTATCACGGCGAATTACTCTCTGGTAAACTAACATAGGAAAATGGCCATAGAAATAGATGATTTACATGGATTTACCGTTCGTAAACGTGGTGATTTTCCAGTGCGCGAACTGTGAAGTCACCAGAGGGTAACCATTTGTTGCTGGTTGGTGGTTTTAACCATCTTGAAACATATGACTTCGTCAATGGGAAGGATGACATCCCATATATGAAAATATATGAAAATATATAAAGTCATATAAAAGTCATGTTCCAAGTCATGCTCCAAACCACCAACCAAGTCATGTCCCATATATGGTAACCAAGTCATGCTCGACCCGGATAGTCCCGGATCAAAGCGTCCACAGGAGCCAAAACGAGAAGGGCGAAATGCCTGAGTTCTGTCCATGGCCAGCCTTAAAGTTGTCATGGGATACTGGGGAAATATATGAGGAAAATATGGGAAAAATGAGGTTCCATCTTACCAAAAAAGTTAAGTTCTGTGCCATGATCTGCCATGGAGAATGCCAATTGGACGACGACATGAACCGAAGCCCATCGGGGTCTGGATGAACAGAATTGTTCATGGGGAAGAAATAACACTTGGGTAGGAGTTTGAATATGGTTTCATCATTTTCATCATAGTTCATGGGGAAGGATTGGAAATATTAGGGTGGCTCAAAAACATCATAATTAGATATAATTAGCATCGATGCATCCGCACAGCGACCATTGAGTAAGTGGTTACTATGGGGACGGTCAGTTTAGCCACTCATCGATCGGAGCCGGTGACAACCACGATCTCAGGGTTACCACAACATACCACAACCACGATCCGTGAGATGATCCGGGTAGTGTTCCCATCATAGCAGGTCGTTATAGATGTCGCCCCAAACATGGCAAAACACCATGACATATAAGCAAACTCAAACAGGATTGCGCAAATTAGATGACTCCAAGAATGGAACACAAAACAAACAACCATGAATTAGCACTACAACCGACCACTGGTTGGTGATTTTGACATCAGCCTTCCCACCATCAACGAAACACGATAGAATTGTCTCCGCAGAAAGCTTCCCACATGAAAATATATTTGGATTGTCCAGATCAAATCTCGGTTCTATGGAGCAGAGTTTCCCCATGGCTTTGTCTTAAAACAGGCTAATGCAAAATTTGATGTTTACCATCTGTATCATGGTGATACCATGGACAGTCCAAGTGCAAAAGTTATAAACATCAAAGACCATAACTGGTTGGTGGTTGACCTACCCCTCTGAAAAAATATGATTTCGTCAGTTGGGATGATGAAATTCCCAATATATGGAAAGTCATTCAAAATTCCATGGTTCCAAACCACCAACCAGATAACCGTGGAGAATTTTCCTTTCTTACCGCGAGAAAGCAATAAACCTACCGACCAGTGAACTGGTGGTAGCTGGTGATCACATCTGTGCTGGAGATGTTCCAACAGCTTTCAAACATAGTGAAGGCCGCTTAAAATTCTGCATATTTGTTTGTTATTCCCATGATATATCCCCATTATATGACTATTCTCATTCTAACTATGGTTTAAATTTTACATGGCCAAAAAAAAGCCTCAACTGAAACTCATCATTGGATGGTCTCTGAAAAATTGCATCCGCAAAAAGGAGGCGCTGCCGGCTTCGGGCTGTAACAATGTACCTGGTAAGAATGAAACATTGCAATTGAAAATGGGTACGGCTTTCTTAAAGGAAATTTTCCTGTTTTTTACTTTAGGGATTCCTGGCTGTGCTTATTTTCCATGCTATGTGCAGCATTTGGGAGCTGGAACTTTGCACTTTGCATGCCATTTGCAACATTGTTTGGAGGTGGAACCTTCCGTTTGTATGCTATGCACAGCATTTTAAAGCCAGAACCTTCCATGTTGCATACTTTTTGCAATCTTTTTGCGGCATTTCATAGTTGGAACTTTCTTTTTTGCATGCTATTTGCAGCATTTTGCAGCTGGAACCTTCCATTTTGCTTGCCAGTTGCAACATTTTGCATGTTATTTGCATAATGTTCAACATTGTGGACCTGGAATCTTCCATTTGGCATGCTATCTGCAAGTTGGTGTTTGTTGTTGGTTGCTGGTTGTTGTCTGTTAGTTGTGGGTTCTTGTTTGTTTTGCTGTTCTTCTTGGAGTTGTAGCCGTCGTAGTTGTAGCCGTTGTAGTTGCTGTAGTGTTTGTATCTGTAGCTTCAGTTGTACGGTAACTACATTTAAATATACGGACTTTTAAAATCTTTTAAATATACCAACGGGTATTTTAGACTACCTCCGGGAAGGTTTTCCTTGGCCCGCCCGGCCATTTAAACATACGGAATCCAATTCATTTAAACGTACGGTATCTACATTCAAATATACGAACTGGTATTTCATACTACCTCCGGGGCCTCGCAGTCTGGCCCGCCCTCCACATATTTAAATGTCGTTACCGTAGTTGTAATAGTAGTTTCTGGTTGTTGTTGCTTTTGTTGTTGATGTTGCTGCTGTGGTTGTTGTTGGGGTGGTGTAGCTGGAGGAACACACCAACAACTGTTGATATTGTGGTGTTTGTTTGGGTGTAGGCCGTGTTTGTGATTTCCTTACGCTTGTGGCTTTGGTTGCGGTGAACAGGTGAACACAAACTGAAGTCAAGAAGCCCGTAAAGTTTTTGCAAAGCCAAGAAGAAAGGAAACTGAGCAAAAAAACAGAGAAACAAACAACAAAGCTTGCAAGGTATTTGCACTATGTTCAGCATTCTGTAACGTCAACCTGCATTGTGGAGATAGAACCTATCATTTTGCATGGCATCTGCGACATTTGGAAGATAGACCCTTTCAGGTTGCATGGTATTTGCAGGATTTTGCAAATGATATTTGCAGCATTTGTGAACTTCAACCTTCCACTTTGCAGAATGGTGACTTTCCATTTTGGTTCATATTTGAAGCAAAAAAGCAGAGAAGCAAAATAGCAGTGAAGCCAAAAAAACAGAGAAAGCAAAAGTAAAAAAAAAACAGAGAAGCAAAAAATCAGAAAAACAGCACAGCAGGAGAGAGGAGTCCTACAAACAACTAAACTCAAAAAGATGCCCTAAATAAATGGCCCTCCATTGAAAATTCCCTTATGTCTAGCTGAAATTAGCATTCAAAAATCATTCAAACCTCCATGGATAGTTCGGGGATTTTCCAGCCATCTACCTGTCATTACCAGAGTATGTATCCACTAAAATCCCATGATTATCATATTCTTCTGCCAATTTCACCGGCCCAGCTCCGTTGGACGGCTCGAAACGTTCCGGGTGTGAAATTTCTGTGCTCCCCACGTTGCTTTGATCATCAGCCGATGACCTTGGTGATATAAAGGAGGTACCCAGGTAAGAGAGGCTTGTTTTTTTCAAGGAATCTCCCCACGAATAAAATGGCCAAGAATATGGTATGAACGTATCTCCCATATATTGGGGTCCTGACATTCCCATTGATTTATGGGATATATTGGGGATATGACGGGTATACATGATACATAATGGGGAATGGCCAGATAAATCACCAAATTAGATGCGATTCGCCGGAATACATGACAATGCGATATGACACTGACATATCATGACATATCCTCGAAGAAAAATCCTCAGGTCGTGGCCTTAAATTGACCACCAGCCTACCACTTCTGGCGTCTAAAGGTGGTTTTAAACTTTAGATTCGCTCACGGAAGGTTGACACATCATGGGGATCTCTACCTTGAGCCACGATCGATCGGAGGGCAGGGCTGTTTGAAAGCGAAACTTGACCATGGAAAAAGCATCAACCTTTTTGCTACAAAGATCTACTGTATGCGATTTGCAAGTTGTTTTTTGTAAAAACGTCCTCCAGCTGCATGCACAAAGCAAAATTCATGGTATTCATGCAACACCACAATGGATACAAGATTTTCATAGATTTTCTAGGTCAATGAGATCAGGGATACCCCCTGCACGGTTCCCCAGTTCTTGTGAAACAGTCTGCCCAGTGATTTACCCCAAAAATGCCGGGGCCAGGATTCACCAGCCGATAAACCTCTACCAGCAGCATATCATATCATGTCAGAATGTCATGTCACATCATATCAAAAGGTGTAATGTTGTCTATATATATATTATATATAACTGGCACATGAAATCATGCTGTACCGTTACATATACCACATCATAGCATACCATCTCATAGCATATCATCTCATAGCATATCATCTCATATCTAGATTACCATATGAATCATACCCATCAATCTGGGTAAATTACATTATTTCACTAACCTGAGTTGAGGCTATCTTGGGCATGATTCCCGCTTATTAAGCATGATTCCAGGGCTCGAGAGAACAGTGAGGTCGTTATAATTTACCCACATCAATATGTATATTATATATATATATATATATCATTGACACTCAACCACCAGCTCTAACATGTTTTTTCAACAGCGCCGCGCTTCAAAAATTACAGCGCGACATCATCGCTGGCATCATCCTGGCGGTTCACAATCCAGTGGAGTCACATCAAAACGACTGGATGATTGGATGATGACTGGAGATCCCACATAGGAAAAAATGGATGATACCCCAAATGGATCCAAATGGATGCTGTATAGTGGAAAAACCTATTTAAAAATGGATGATGATGCTATTCTTTTGTGGAAAAAAACTATTAAAAACCTATTAAAACATGCATGATGATGCTATTCTTTTGTGGAAAAAACCTATTATAACATATTAAATGATGACTGGGGTAGCAAAAATGACACAAAACGGAAACCTCTCCAAAGGTCCATGTTTTTGAAAACATCACCGGATCCAATCGCCACGTCACCCTCCCAGGTCTTTCATGCTCGTTCAAGCGCATGAAACCCTAAATATGAATAGGAGACAATCACAATACAATCTTATCTTCCCTACTGAGATCTACAGTACTGAGTACAAAATCAGAAGTACTTGAAACCATGTTTAAAAATGTTTTTAAAACTCTATCCCAATGCAGAATGTAAAAAACACAAATGAAAAAAAAAAACATGAATTTGGCTCTGCAAATCTTCGACAAACAACCCTTGGGCAACCTTTTTTCCAACCAATCATGCAGGTCGTACGCGCGCGCTGCAGCGTTTCAGTGAAAGCAATGTTTGGTACCAGAGGTCACACAGGGCTGGCAATGACATGCTACCAGAGTGCCATCAAGGCCAACCAAGGGTTGCATATGGGGAATGACGACGGTCCATTTTCTCATCTCATCGGACTAAGTCTTACTAGTCATCCAATTCCGACAGCAGCAGAAAGTCGCACCACTTCCACATGTCGGAAATTGCGCAATGTTGGGATCTCTTCCATAGCTGCCAAATGTCGACGGTGTATGAGACACCACACTTCCAACACTTCCAAAGTCAAAGACAACTCTGACGTGACTGCTGGTAGGAGTGTATTGGGAGTACTAAAAAACAACTCCAGTTGCGCTGAGAACCAGGTTCCAGCACATAGATTGCGCTCGCCATGCCATTTGTCATCATTTCTCCCCATTTAAACAATAAATGTGCAGGTGATTTCGCTTAACTTGATGTTAAAATCCTCCTTTGACCATATTATAGAATGGGATATATGAAGGATTTTTGATGAGGATATGATAGCGTTACCCATTCCTATAACCATCATTCCAGTGACGTCGTTTATATGTGAGGTGTCGCTTTACATACTTTATCAAGATATTGTAATCCTTATAATGATCCAAGTCCATCCCCTGTACGATAGGTGTTTTTGTTCCACAACGATCCCAGGATGGTTTGCTTCTGGTGATGGTGGGCTTTAGAGCTGTCCATATCCATCAGCTCTTTTTTTTCATTTCCCATGAAACCATGGATTGTTATATACTCAATACCACTATTAACCACTATTAAGCACTATTAACCACTATTAACCACTGGTAATAGCTGACATAGCTATTGAACATGACCATTTATAGAGTGGATTTTCCCATTAAAAATGGTGATTTTCCATAGTTATGTAAACGTTTACCAGAGGGTAACCACTATGATTTATTAAGCTGTACATAGCTGTACCAAAATTCATCAAATGAGACTTAGATCCATCCCGCTAGTGCTTGGCTTTCTTCCAAAAAGTATTGCCGCTGCAAAAATATTATGTCCATTTCTTTTTTGGTCAATGTTTCGTCTAATTCCATCCCATTCCACTAGGAATGTCATTTCTTTGAGAGTTGTGTATAGTTAAGCGGCTGATCTACCGCTATTAATCCGAACGCTCAGCAAAACCCAAACATGAATTAGATTGAATTAGTATATTATAAGACCCCCAAAGCCTTATTGTTGGAATATCTCTTGTTGAAATGCTTTGCAAGAACCCCACGTGGCTCCTGATCGGGTCTACCACGTTTACCCTCTGTCACCATCTGCCAAGTCAGTTGTACAAGTTCTGTTCTTGAGCTCCCAAGTTTCTTTGGTTTGCTCTTCAATGATGTACCAGTACAGTAGATCGCTTTAAGACTCCGTTTCACTGGGAAATCACCACTGTTTTTCTCTATTTTACTGGTAACATGGATTTTAAATAACTCCATTTCATGGGTCATTAAATGTCCCCATTGAACATCACCCAACCATTAGGTATATGGTCTATAATGGCTACTATAAGGTGATGTCCAATATATCCAAAATGGGACAGTTACCAACCCCTGCATTTAACTGGCTGAAATTTTACCAGTTTTTCTCTACCAGAAAAGCCGAGAGCTCGGCGAGTTGGTGAGACGTAGAACCCGTCTGGTCAAATCTGCAGGTGGTCCTTCCCAACAAAACTCCTGATTTTTCAACATGGCAAGTCTTAGGTACCCGGAAAACAGTATATATATAATATATATATCAAATATATAATATGTATAACTATAATATAACATGTATATATATATAATATATATATATATACACACACTTGTTAGCTGGGGTGTATGGATGTTCATTTACAAACAATCGAAATCTTAAACTATATGTTCCGCAGATGTTCTTAAACTATATTGATCCAGATATTCAATTGGGGATCTTCTTTTAGGAAGGAGAACTGGAAACATCGACAAAAATCCTCCACAGCTTCCCCCAAGATCAGCCACTGATTCATCCGTTGGAACTCTGGAGGGTTGAGGAGAGACTTCCAGCTGGGTAGGGGATGGATTTAACAGGTAACCTCTGGTAATTTGACAGTTTGCTATTGAAAATGGCAATTTATAGTGAATTTTCCCATTGAACATGGTGATTTTCCATAGTTATGTTAGTTTACCAGAGGGTAATTAGATGTAATTAGGCTTCATTTGGATGCTTCGGGTAAAATTCTGTGGCAACATTGATCACTCCATTGGCAAATCGAATGAACCATGAACAGTAAATACCCCTATTCCATCCCATCATACTGCTTGGTTAAGGGAAGCATCTCGTCAATTATGGAATATGTCATGTAGTCATCAGCCCACAAACAGTTTACCGGTGCTATAACCCTCTACTTCTGAACCAATGTTTGCTGCTTGAGTCCCCACGAAATCACCAAAAACAATTTAGGGATGGTTCCAGTTATTGGCTTTACCACAAAGTACTCGAAGTACTCCAGCATTTTACTCTCATTCTATTCCAGCCACAGTCCAGATAGTCCAGTATTCCAATCGTCCAATTGTCTAGGCCACCAAATTTGAAGGACCAACTGCTTGGTTTCGAGCACATCTTCAGAGGATTTGGTCACCATGTCATCATGACAGCGTCATATTGACAGCGTCTTATTGACAGCGTCTATCGTATCTTTTGTGGGTTTGCCCACAGACCTTGGTGTCTTTCGCGGATGCAAGGGCAATGAACAAGCCGTCCAAAAAGTGATGAAAGGAACCGCGGTGTTTCAATGAAGACAGTGAACGAGCCATCAAATACTTGATGGGCAATTATTTCAAGAGGATTTACCCTCCAGTAAATCAGCTTAGACCCTGGCAGATCGGGGTGGGAAGATTAGTTTCCACTAAAAATGGAGTAGCTCATATCAGGGCGAAACCCCCGTCCGTTCAAGTGAGAAGTATAGTATTCTACTGTAGAATTCTACCCTCAGTTTGCCGTTCATAGATGAAATTCACAAACTTAGTTTTTTCATTTATATATATATATATGTTGTATGAATATATGACACATAGGATAAATACTCTAGCATTTGCAACCCCTCTTTACATGATCAGTTATCGGCCTTCAAACTTATTGGCAATATATCAATATTACATTTTGTTGTTTACATCTCCCTTCTGCAACGCAGCCCGGTTGGATAAGTCTATAACCCCATGTCTCACCAGTTGATATAGTCCCAAAAATGACCACGTAACAATCATCATGTCTGGAGTATGTCTTTAGGTGGCCAAAAGAAAAGGTCCTCTGGAATCATTGTTGAGGTAAAGTCTATTTCCTGTTGGTATAAGGCACAATCCCACAATAAATTGGTGTTTCCTAAAATGGAGGTACCCCATCTCATCCATTTTTTGGTGTTTCCCATGAAAAACAAATCAAGCGATTTATTGGGGTACCCCATCTTAAAAAGGACCCCCCCCGTATAATAGATATGATCCCAGCTACTAACGATGTTTGTTTATCCTATATACTCCATGTATGGAATATTTACCAACATTTGCCCTAAAAATCACCCAGTTATGTAGGCAAATATACCAGCACCATGGAGTAT